GACCGCCACCAGGGATACTCTCAAACATTATTCTTGCTAGGCCGAACAAATTCACCTGCGAAAATTCAAAAAAGCAGCCAATTCGCACGAAAATGTCCGGAAAAAAGCGGGAAATATTCATAAGCCAACTGAATCGTCATTTTCTGAGCAAACTATACACGGTATTGTACGCGTAATCGCAGATGTAATGAATTATTGCTGCAACCATCAGACGCTGGATATTTTATCGACATCCTGTCGATTTTTCCGTAAATCTCGTTACAACGAAGCTGTTAATTGGGACCTTTAGAAAAATGCTTCGTTGTGAAGATACAATCGTTGAATGGCGATTTCAAATGATGTTATGACTGTTGCGCAGGGACCTGAAAAACAAACTTTTTATCAACTATAATTCGTTACAATTAGATTCCTTCTCATGAGTTTCTACTACCATTGGTACACATTCATTAGTCAACTAAATAAATCGTCCCTTTCACGAAACAATTTTTTGCAAGAACTATACTGCATATGCGTATGTTTAACGCATTTTAAGGCTACAATAATAGTGCGGCATCTCACAATCAATCTGTTAACGCCTTTTTTAGCTCAAAGTTCTAAATGCATTTCGAAAAAAAAGTCTTTTTACTTTTCGGCAGTCATCCTTGTAATTCAATTAACCTGAGCTTTATGGTTTTTTTTTTACTTATTTCCACTGAGCAAGAATGGTCAATGATTTTTTGTTGTTGAAACTTTCTTGATACCNTTATTTCCACTGAGCAAGAATGGTCAATGATTTTTTGTTGTTGAAACTTTCTTGATACCTATAACTAAGTTCCCCGCAAGGAGATCCAGCGTTTCAAACGTTCTTTTTATGCCGTATTACCAAAAAAAAAAATTTTTCAATCCAACTCCATCCACTGCAGTTTAAGAGAGGGCTCTGATTATTCAATAATTTCTGCTATGATGAAAAATGAAAACAATTTGATCAGATTCAAGTTTCCTAGAAGTATTTTTTTCGGAATGATACAATTTTCAAAACAATAAAAAATATTGAGGTTTTGATGACCGACGGAGAACAATATTTTCGGCATCTGAATGTAAATATCTTCGGGAATATATCAGGACGACTTTTTATTGATTCTGAAAAACGTCTTGGAGAAAAATACTGTACGTATGGATTCTTCAGGCAAACAAATTGGAAAAAGTTATCGAAGCTCACGTTTGCGTTGTAAATCGAAAATTCCAAGAAAATGGCCCTCGTGAGGTGATCAGTCCATTCAGCTTGCTGCAGATCCTTCAGCTTCTCTGACAGCTCTTCAGCTCGGCCTTGTAATTTGACAACATATCCTCCACCACCGTACCCATCCAATTTGCCAACAATCGGGAATGATTTCAACTCAGCCGAATTCTTGTAGCTACAAATTTTGATGGCTCATTTCAAACATTAAGATATTTTAGAAAATTTTGCGGAGCACTGGCATAAAAAATTATATGCAGGAAAATGAGACTGCTCATCGTGAAAAAAATTTCATTGAAAAATTTACTATATCAATCATTTTGATTTTAACCGAGTTCGAGATTGAATTAAGCTTTTTTTAAATTCCAAAATATTTATGATCTACATGAAAATAATCATAAGAAAAGCTAGAAGCTAGCCTGTGTCAAGAAAAGAATATTAATCCAACATTACAGTATCCCAATAACTTTCGTTGAAACTGTCATTTTAAAATTCCAGAAAAAGAGCTTCTTCCAAGTCCACAAAAAATGTAAAATCTTTCATAGAAGCTGTACGATATTCAATAGAATATATAGAATATAATGCTGCTCATTTAGAAAGCAATTTCAAACCTGAACTCGTCCCAACCGCATTCTTCATCCGGAATGTACGAAGCCCTTCGTCTCCATTTCGTGCAGAAATCCCCACGTTCTTCATGAATGTATTCAGAATAATACACGCAACTCGTGATGTTTTGCTTCCGCATACCGACAGGAATTCTTGAAAAAAAATTCGCATGATTACAAACATTTCAATTCTTGTAAAATCCATGTATGGAAGACTGCTAATTGAGTGGCTGATGTTGGATTATATACTTACACGCAGGTGTTCGGCTGTGACCTCACTTGCCGCAAAATTGCGTACCCCATCATGCGACTGTTCCTGTCATTCAGAAACCCCCTGAGGCCATAAGCAGCGTCTCCGTTGTACCAGTTTTGGGCACGGGTTTCTTGGATTACCACGTTATGAGTCCAATTCCAAAAATCGTTCTCCGTTTGAATCTGCATAATTTCGAAGTTCAATGGTGACTATACTGTACAGTATTACAAATTATATGTCTCAGTCAAGAACATAGAAAAGGACTTCAAGTGGACTCTCCGTATGACGATCTTTTCCAGATTGGCTTTCTGTGTTTAAGATTTTATTTTTGGTCCCCTTTAGCCGTATCCCTCTGTGTTATTTAGGGTTTCCCTACAACGAAATTATGTCCATAGCAAGATTTTTCTGGTACCTTGAATTTCGTTGCAAATCGTGGTGGAGCATTAAAGACGGCTTACACGATTTTTACAAGGGGATTTAAGGTACAGTCAAACCCCTTTAAACCGCCCCCCGATAAACCGCCACCCTCACCTCCCGCCATATTTTTACCCCAAACAAATCTTTCCAATGTTAAAAGGATGGGGAACCTAGATAGACGGCTATCGCCATCTGCCAACAATTTTCTGGCCTCAAATAGGCACTTGTCCTTGTTTTTTTACCCCTTTGAACCGACAATTTGGAGAGATATTCAATTTTAAAATATGAACAGAATGCAAATGCTGAGAAATCAGGTACAAATGGATGCAATATTTGCTCCAAAATTAAGCAAGAACACTAATAAAAATGCACAAGA